TGAATTTTATCTAAGGTATTTTTTTTTTAATATTGAGATATTTAAGACTTTAAATTGTTAATAATTCCTTTCAATTTTGAAAATTAATTAAAATAAGCCAAATATACGCGTCACAGATTTTTAGATAAATTAAATTTCTCTTTTTGTGCACATAAATGATAATAAGTTTGTGTATATAATTAGAATACATGTAATTTTTCTTGCATTGCATTGATTATATAATACGCAAATATATGCATTAGGTTTATTCTACGAGTCTTCAAATTAAGAAACATATTTGTACGTGATGTTACATATCGAGCACTGGTTCTCTAATCTAATAATGTTCATTTTATGTATGTTTCGCTCGCATGTGTTACCCCTCAATCAAACCACCCGGACAATATTTCGCCAAAACTGCCACAGTAAATATCCCCATTTCTCATGATTAAATCAAAACAGATTCCTGTTGCATTTATAGTCAACCTGTTGATCGTTAATTCCAAACATCGTTGTTGCTCATCCATATTAGTCGCTTTCGCAAAAATATTTAATCGCCTCAAAGTGGATCGATCACCTACAGTTTATATTGTTTCGATTAGTATCTACAGAAAAATAAATATCTCACGATCTTTCCTATAGAGATTAATTGGAAAAGAGATACACATATTGATATATTTTTTATAAAAATTTTTTCCCCGCGTGATTGTGTTTTTTTTAATTTTATTTATAATCTATCCAAATACAGATATTTATATATATATTTTTTGAAAATTGATTCATCGATTATTAATTATAATATATTATATTTCCGAAAGTGCGAACGCGGTTGATAATTCTGCACATGCGAGAGGACGAGAAAGCTAAATAATTTTTGATTGACGGAAGGAGGTTCTTTTTTCCCTCGCGTTTTCACGAAATTTCAGCGGCCGGACGCTCTTCGAATATAGAGACGCGCGACAGCGAGAGATCAAGACAACGAGCAATCGCGTTGATCGACGTGCATCCGGATGTGCGGCCAGCTGAGCGGTTTACAAACGGGCTCGTAAAATACACGAGACACGTCCGTTTGCGTTAACGTGTCTCTATTCCGAGCCGGTCGCGATCGATCGCGCGCCTTCCGGTGTTCCGCGAGCGCAGCTGCGCCCGGTGATGCGTCCCGTGTGCGATTCGCACGAAAAGCTATTATCCCGGGATAGAGAAGTGTGTGCACAAACGGCCGATGGTGATGGCGGTGTATGCGGTGGGGCCTGGGCGAGATCGCCCGCAATCCGGGGATTCGTGCGCGACGTCGACAGGTCTTTCGCACGCGCCCGGCGTGTCGTGCTATTTATGAAATAACGTTCCAAATCTATACGGCTTTTTTCATATCCGCGGTTTTACGTGAATACTCGTTTATATCGATCTCTCCACCGCGGTTGAAGTTTTTAAAGAGGCACACTAAAAAAAAATTTATTGAACTCGAATAAGTTTGTTTCAATACTGATACAAATAAATTTATTTGAAACTAATAATATTGGTTTCATATGATAAATATTTATTTGATGGAAAAAATCATTTTCAAAATATAAATATTTATTTGTTTCAAATTAATGATTTATTAGGCAGTATTGAAATTCATATTTTTTTTATTCAATAATTTCTTTTCGGCGCAGAAACTTGAAAATGATCGGAATTGTCTCTTTTAATTATTTCAATTGTAAGAATATATTAAAATATAAGATTCATTTAAGATCGTAATTGATTATTGACTTGACAATTAAAGTGTGACAACTCTCTTTTATCTTATTTCTGGTTATTCTAATTTTAGATACAATAATTACACACAAATGTAGAATTTCTATGTTTATTCTATGAGATGTTGCCATTTGTGGAAAATCTGTCATTGCGAAATTACGATCTAGTTATTACAGCTGCATCCAGTTTATGTCCATGCATTACGTATCATCGCGTTTAATGGCTTTCCCTTCAAATTGCAGAGCGGATCCATCGTTATTGTGCTTTCTGTGTGATTATAACGTATTAGTTGCTAATGATGTCGTGATTAGTAGGTGTTGCTTTATGCGTAAACAAGAAGCATGAATGAGCAATGTGTAATATGGGGACACGTATTTAATTATAAACGCTATGTTTTTGCGAATTATGAAAATTATGAACTGTGAAAATACAATATGACGTGCGAATATCTCTGCGCGAAATTATCAGATTAAAAAATCTTTTTAAAATAATTAAAATTTTTTGCATATATATTATTTTTTATTAACAAAAATAATAAAAAGTGAAAAAAAAACGAAATGACACATAAAGTATATTATATAAAATTGGTGAAGCACAGATTCTTGAATTGTCAGATCGTCTGAAATAAATTGTTGTCTTGAATTGAAATCCGTTTGTCTGTATGCAAAATAAAATTCGAAAAATTCGCGTATATGTCCCGTTTTAGATATGATGTGAACAAGCAAATACGATGTGAACAAGCAAATATGGATATAATATTGTAATCAAACCGTTTCGAGAGAAATACGAACAAAGAGCTATGACAAAACAGAAACCACTCGTGAATTCGTTATCGCGCGGTCGCTACGCCCGAAAGCTTCGTATTATTAAATAAATGCGATAACTGTTCTAAATATTAAGCGTTTATACACATAAACATATTAATATTTGATTACAGTAACCGCGGTAATTGTGCAACGATGCAAAATTCCCGAGATTAACGAATATATAAATAATAGAAAGCAAGAAGTCGCATATGAGAAAAAAGGAGAGGAAATCGATATGAATCGTACATTGTTTACAAAAACATTCGCGACAATTTAATAGTTAATAATAAATTTATATAGCGTATATTTATCATAAAAACTCACGCGCATACCGCATCAAATTTATTACTAATTAATTTAATTGCAACATTATTAAATCATTTCTAAAAAAGTTATGTTATTGACATTTTGTCCTTTTTCCGCGATGCCGATTATTTTGACAGCTGTCGAACTGTCGAGACAGTTTGACAGCTGTCAAAAGAAAATTAAATAATAAAATGATTAATCATTTCTAGAAAGAATATGTTATTGATATTTTGTCCCTTTTCTGCGATGCTAATTGGCTGTCTCGATAGTTTGACAGCTGTCAAAATAAAATTAAATAATTAAATTATATAGATAATAGCGCACTTGTGTTATCTAGTATATTAAAAATCGAAAAAAAATCGGACGATCGTTTTTGAATTCGTCCGCTTTTTAGTTAACCGCCAAAAACATAATCGTTATATTTCGTCGATAATATCCTGTCGTAATGGCGCAGGACGAAAAAGGACAACGAGAGAAAACGCTGACGTATGTTGTGGAGGAAACTGAATGCGCAACGAATAATTAAACGTCAATCGCACGCCTACTCGTCGGGTGCAAGCTTAGAACCGTTGCATTGGTTTTCTCTCTCTCTCTCTCTCTCTCTCTCTCTCTCTCTCTCTCTCTCTCTCTCTCTCATCTCCGCTCATTTACCTGGCTATTTACCTGACGCACACATGCAATACGCCAATAGCTGTTGCAGTTGATATAACTATGAGCCGTACGTCACCCATTTAGAGCAACGCGGCTGCATCGATCATCGAGAATCTCCCGTTTATTTGATGCGACGTAGATAAACGCCTGGTGCATTGCAGTATTATAATACGCGATTGGGAAATATGCATACGTCAAACGATAATAAGTCGATATAGAATATAGGTATGCGATCGATGAAGGTTTGTAAAATTATTCGGAAAATTTCTACAAACTAATTTTAAACGTCTGCGATTTAATTTTAGATTTGATTATTGAAAATTGAGCTCTCAACTATATGTAGATGAAAATGAAAATACATAATTCATGGAGAATGTAAATGTGGGTGATACACGAGACATCACAATGGAACGGCTATAAAAGGCTCTAAAAGACCGAGGTGTAAAATGACAATGGATGAGGAAGGTAAACACGAGGCGTGAGTGAGATAGAGAGAGAAAGCAGTCAAAGAGGAAACGACGCGTGAAGGGATGACAAAGAGAGATGGAGTTCCACGGAGTGGTGAAAGATTAATGGTGTCGCGTAGCGGCTGCTGATTAACTCGGATTCTATCAAAGTACTTCGCGATTCGTTAATCTCTCGATTATCATCGTACAAAACCTACCGAACCTGTTGCACTTCTTTCAACGGGCGATTATTCTGCGCAGTACGACCGTTTCTTCCCGAGAAGACCACCCGTAATTCTTATTATAATTAGTTTGCCATTTTCCGGGCAAAACTTTCTCTTAATCCTTCCCTTCATTGTGATCAAGTCCCTTTAATATGCGTGTCACGCCATAATCTCATTTTTTAAACTTTCATTAATTTTATTATAAATTGTTTCATTTAATTTTATTATAAACTGTAATTTTTAACTTTTTTTTTAATTGAATCTTTCTCAGCACGATAATGATATAGATATAAAATAAAAAAAAATAAATAGATGAAAATTAATATGAATAAAAATATTATATAAGATACACACAAAGCACGACTTATATTAATCAAGTAAAAAGTAAATAATACTTTAAGCGTTTCGTATTTTAATGTGCAAAAGAGGACATACTTTATGAAATATTTTTAATATTAAATTTTTTAATAGCAGTAATCTCCTTTTTAATTAAGATGAGTGTATCTATTAGTTATATATAGATTGTTAAAGAATATTTATTCGGAATACTAATGTTTATTCATTGGACCGATGTATTAACGCTGAACGTTTCAAATGTGTAATTCATGACGAAAAGTCAATATTCTAGACTAAAGAAACGAAAGTGCACGAAGTGCTTTAGCATTGTTCCCTCAGTAGTAGATATCAACGATATGAATCGCCGATATCAGTGTCGGAAAACTTGGGTCGATCGATAAAAGTTGGAAATCTAAAGCGAACACTTTTTAAACTCTTCTTGAATTTCAAGTCTTAGACGCTTCGAGAAGGTGCTTCAATTATGGCGGTAATCAGTGCTCTAATTATATACTCACTTCTATGTCCTTTATCCATGACCGGATCTCTCCTCAGCTTCACTCTCCTCTTCGCATTCATCCGTGGAGCTAAAAGAAGCAAAATTTAATCTCGTTAAAACTTTAAATATAACGACTAGCTTTCATCTTTCGATGCATTAATAATGTCTAAGAAAAGTAAATTGTGAAATTTAATAAGAATGAACAAAAATTTAGTATAAATAAATTTAATACGCGTACATTTAACGTAGAAATATATAATATTAGAGGAAGGAAGTAATCATTTAGTTGTAATCACGAGATACGCAGTATTTAAAAATCAAATTCGTGATGTATGAAAAGAGGAAGATTTTTTTTTAATTTTAAATTGAAATATAAATTGAAGTTACGAATTAAATAATAGCCCGAGAGCTAATTCCGCAAAACGGAACAAAGAACATGATGGGTCATAAAATAGTCGTGATTTAGGTCGAAATGATGCTGCTCGCGTTTTTGCTTTTCAACGTGACAGCTCCGGGAAGAAACGAAATTTTCTCCTAACGTTGTCAGTTAACAGTTATCGTTTCGTGATTGCACGCCCACGTAGTAGTAGCTATCCGTCGTTTCGCATACGCTGATAAAAATCGTTCTGCAGAGGAACAGATTTAATCAAAATTGCCAACGTAGTCCGGCGTGGCAGCGAGAATCCCTCTGTTTAATACACGTTAAGAGCAAACGGCGACTACAAAAAGCGAGCGAGAGGAACAGATCGGCCGAGATTTTCGAGCAGTTCCCTTTTTATAATGCGCCCCGGCACATTTCTGCTCGATGTAGCGTGAAGGCGATTTTGACGTTAACCCCGATTGCATCCCATCTACGTTCGATCTCGACACGTCATCGTAACCGCCTTGAAAAATTGACCTGTCGATGACCTGACGAACAAACTTGGAATAGGAATAGATACCGCAGCGAAGCGATAAAAAAAGGTGAATGAATTTTTATTCGCGGCAACTTATATTAGGTACAGTATATAGTCTTTAGAAAAACAAAAGGGAATGGGAAGTATAAAGTATATCAGGATATTTATATTTTATATATTTATTTTTATATATTTTATTTTATTTTTATATATTTTATATATTTCATAATCTAATCTCTAATGTAATCTTTTTTCTTCATATTTTTTTACTTTTACATCTTATATAAAATGTGATACAAAAATTTTTTAAATAAATTTTGAATTATTGTTAAAAATATATATTTAATATAACAAAATACAATATTTCAAATAACTATTTATACATATATGGATGTTTTATATATTTATAAGATCATAATTTTAAAAAGTTACAAAGCCATTTGAAGAAAAATGTAATTGTAGCACGTGCTTGGGGATTGTTTAATCGTGTATATTTTTTTTAAGTTACAAGTCGGTTCTAACTTGAAATGAAGAAAACTCGTGAAACATTTCTGCGTGAACTTCGTTAGCTTCGGGCGCAGCGAGAGCTTGAATGTCGCGCGATTACTTAGCACGGAAAGCGCTTGATTATCTTTCTGCTCCGTTCTTCACTTTTCTGCGCGTCGGTTATCACGGTGTGTTTGTTGGCAAGAAAATTAATCTCCTGCGTTAAGTAAATCGAAGACCATAACTAAATGAGAAACTGGAACTCCTCACAAGTGTTGCCGAGGTTGCAAGAGTTCGTTGTATAATTAACACAATATATTGTATATCTGTTAAACTTTCTCTTCATATTTTTTTTATTTTTGTATCACGTATAAAATACGTGATACGAAAATTGTAAAAACAATAATTTTAACTGTTCAAAAATATATAAGTATTAAATAACAATAATGCAATATTTCAAATAATTATTTATATTCAAATAATTATTTATACATATATGAGATGATAAAATTGACTCGAAAACGATAAAAAGTAATTTACATTTTAAATTGTCTTTTTGATATCGTTATTGTTAAATTGATATTTTGTTATTTGATATTAAAAAGAAATTTAATATGCAAATTGATTAGTTTTACAGTACATATTACTGATCGCATGTTTTTGTCGCACACCCATGTGAATTTTCTTTAATTCACGAGATGTTGCGTAGATCGTATCTCACCCCTAGAGGCATAAATCAATTACGTGACCCACTAACAGTTTCAACAAACGACTCTCCGTGCAAACTGCGTTATCCGTCGTCGCAACGGCAAACTTGCGCGTCGTAAAATTACACACAATCACTTTAGCACAGGCTTATCTTCGCACCTCTTGGCTCTCTATTCTTTCTTTTTGCCTCTATACTTTTCTCTTTCTCCGTTTTCTATACGAAGAGAAGGTTGCTCTCTTGTCTTTTTCACTTCATCTCACGTGCGCAGCTTGTTGCATCGCAGTTTTTATCGGCGAGATAGAAGACGTAATCCGTCTTCCGATCGACGTGCTTTTAATGAACACGTAGAGACAGATCGCAATTCGCAATGTCGTGGCTCTCGCGTGTCGTCTCGGATCGCGATAAACTGTCGTCGCGTTGCAATCGATATATATAGCGGAGCGGGATAGCCACTCCTCCCGAATGAGAAAAACGAAACGGTCCGTTTTTCCAACCGTATAACTCGGTTGACCCGCAACGACGAGGAGGAAAATGCACCGTGTGTCGACCGGCCTCATGATAAAATCTTCAGGAAACCTATACACGTTGGAAACGGTCCAAGCTCTCTTCTTGCGTACTTTTCAACTGTCCGCGTCAGCTGTCAATTTTCTATAAACGCGCGGTATTGCTATATCGTGAAATATCATTTTGAAATCAATTTTCTGCTGTTTTTCAAGTTTTCAATTAACAATTATATAGAATTTTTGTAAATTTTCTTTATTTTATTATGTATATAAGAATTATAAATGATTTAAGATAACTATTAATTGAACAAATGTTGAACGATTTTTCGAAAAATATATATATGTATTTACGTGTATTTCATGAAATGTAAAAATTTTAAATTTATCTTTCCTTTTGTGTATATTAAAACAGTATTTGAATTATTTCGAAGGTTGATTTTCTTTTAATTTTAATTAAACGTGATGGAAGCTTTTATCGGAAGGCTTAAAAAAACTAGGTCAGCTATAATAAAAGATACTGCATCGTGACCGAACTAAGTTAGTCTCTCGGCTAATGGTGATAAAATCATTCCGCTGATGTATAGCAAAAATTATTCATGTACGTCGTATATAGGATTATACAATACAAATTGTGTATATATGTATCTACACAATCAATATTTAAAAGTTGCGTTAATTCCTGCAATAAATCTAGAATCTAGAGTATGAAATAAGAAGGATACACAATGTGTTTTTAATCGAGATAATTATAGTTCTGTAATTCATTCAAAAAAAATACATATTAAAATCAGCAGGTGACACGATTCTTTTCGAATAAAAAATATTTGAATTTTTACAACATTTGATTCAAATAAACTTTATGCATTCGATTACACATATTCAAAAAAAGATTTTTTTTTCAACAAATTGCAGAATTCGATCTGAACATTTCAAGTAAGAATTTTTCCCGATACATATACATTTTAATGCATATTGTACAACGTGGCCGTCTCTCTCTCTCTCTCCTTTTATTCATAAATATTTAAACTGCATAAATACATATCACAAGATATTTATCGATAGTCATAAATTGTGCAAACAAAACATCGTAAAAAATTTAGAAATTAGACTGGGAGAAGAAAAATCGCGTAAAAATATTTGCAAATAATTAATACACGTGAGATACGAGTGTACTTTATCTTGCTAAATATGCATAAATTACATTAATAAAAATGACCTCTTCATTTTCAGAAGGGCGGGAAATTTTCCCGACCATTTCATTTATATGCATATTACAATACCACTTTTCTACGGTGCACAAATTTTTGATAAAAGAAGTTCGCACGCACAATATAATAAGTCATGCAGTGCAAATCGAGGGTTCTGTTCGATCACGCTTGAATCAAGTATCATACAAATCTAATTAACCCGAATGCTATTGCCTACAGACAAAAAGACCGGCCGTTTCGTTTTTCCGTATAGCAATTAAATGGTATTTGAAAGCGACACCTTGGGCACGACACTCGAGAGTGTGGAGAGATCCACGATGACCTCCGAAATTAAATTCCCGATTCCTAATTAACGGAATTTCACCACTGGCTGATACAAAAAAAAAACTCCGGAGGGTTAACTGAAACCAGAGTATTATCCACGGAATTGAATCACTGCCCAGCAAGCTCGAAGCTCGATCGATCAAACGTACCGTCTCTCTTTCTACTTACAATTTTTCCCCGTAACGCTAACATTTGCGCACTTGTGGCGAAGAAATCTTGCGGTTTGTGGGTTTCTGGTATTCCCTTAATAAGGTACCCCAAGCGTATAATTAAATATTTAGACTACTTATTACGATTAAATAATAATAAAGGAAGAACCTATTTTTATTATGAAACGACCGGGAGAATAAGTAATCACATTTCGCTTTATATTCGAATAAATAATCTTCTTGCGTGATATTGATAATATACTATAAGTATTTTTATTATTTTCGAATATTTATAAAAATATAGAGATAGGTATATTGAAAGACATTATTTAATCGAAAGAGACGATCAAACAGTCGGAATGCGTTAATACGCATACATTTTTCGGAAATAAAGTTTGATAGTAGTCTTACCAAGATCACTGTCGACGTCATGAATGACGATCTTAATGCCTTCCCCATCAGCTAGACTGCCCTGTCTAGGCAATTCGCGTTCTTCAGCTGCGACTCTGCTAACAGCCGGTGGAGCGGCGCCTTTCACCGTTCCTGGTTGAGCTGATGTCAACGCCCTTATCGCATTTATATCAGGTCTGAAATAAGAATGTCCAATATAATTAGCAAAAAATTAAAAAAAATTTTATTGTCATAATTTATGTCATTTAATTAATTTTTACAACATTCACAATTAATTGATATTTGGCAGAATTTTGAAATTTGTCAAAAACGATTAAAATTGTCTAAGGATTATTTTTTTAATTTCATATATACGAAATAATCTTAAATAATCAAATATACGAAATAATCTGAAATAAGAATGTCCAACATAATTAGCAAAAAATTAAAAAAAATTTTATTGTCATAATTTATGTCATTTAATTAATTTTTATACAACATTCACAATTAATTGATATTTGGCAGAATTTTGAAATTTGTCAAAAACGATTAAAATTGTCTAAGGATTATTTTTTTAATTTTATATATACGAAATAATCTTAAATAATCAAATATACGAAATAATCTGAAATAAGAATGTCCAACATGATTAGCAAACAATTTAAAAAAAATTTTTATCATAATTTATGTCATTTAATTAATTTTTATACAACATTTACAATTAATTGATATTTGGCAGAATTTTGAAATTTGTCAAAAGCGATTAAAATTGTCTAAGGATTATTTTTATAAATTTTATATATACGAAATAATCTGAAATAATCAAATATACGAAATAATCTGAAATAAGAATGTCCAACAAAAAATTTTTTATCGTCATAATTTATGCCATTTAATTAATTTTTACAACATTCACAATTAATTGATATTTGGCAAAATTTTGAAATTTGTCAAAAGCGATTAATTTGTCTAAGCTAAGGATTATTTTTATAAAATTCAAATATACGAAATAATCTCATATAAATGTACATACACATTTTTTTATTAATGTTTTATACTTTAAAAGAGTTTTATCGTTGAGAATTTACTGCTAACAACATGAATAAACATTAGCAAACTATTCCATTGTCGCCTAAACTTTTGTTTCGGAAACTAAAGACATTGAGCGCGGAGACATAAGCCGATTTAAAGCAACTGAATATAAGTATTAATATAGATCATAATATATAGATTGAATTGTAGAGTTTTCGCGAATTTAAGCCGCAAGATGGATATTGATCGTTCATATATTGAAGCAAGTTTTGTTATTATGAAACTATCTCAGAATAATCGAAATAAGTTTATTAATAATCTTGCCAATGCTCGCAGTAATGGTTGAAGAATGTTACAGCCAATATTGACTCTTAACTTTCCCAGTTAAAATTGCAGTAATAAACGATTCATGTTATTATTTTATTTGCTAAACAGTATGAAATTAGTATAAAATCATGTTGACTTGAAAATCAACTTTCGACGATATTAAGTGCCATTATTCCCTCGTTTATGTACCATTTATTTATATCGAATGGTAATTACATTTTTTGTTTCTGAAGAGGATTATCTGTAATTTTAACTGGAAAAAGTGAGTTCAAAGCAACTAAAAATGTAGATTGACAAATATGATTTGTTTTATTCAAGATTTAATTTAAGCATTACTATACGAATTATTACAATTATTTAATATTCGACTTCAAATATATCTCTTTATCATATATCATTCTAATTACAGTTTCGCAAAAGAAAAAGAAAAAAAGAATCTTTCGTTGAGTGTAATAAAGAAGTTGGATTTATACTTGTCGCGCTTTAATTCATCAAATGCCTCCAACTTATAACATAAAACAAGTGAAATCTTAAATTAGATTTTTTTTACGAGGGGCGAAGGCAAGCGCGAAGACAGAATATGAAAAATACGGTCTCGCCACTGACGTTTTTATCAAGGAAAAATAAAGTTTTTTATTTTATTTTATTTTATTTTATTTTTACGCGACGAGACTTTCAAACGTAGTCGCAATTGCGTTAAACTGTTCCTCGTGCAATGAGCATCGCCGAGCAAGCAATGAATTTATCCTCTCCCGCACAGCATGATACTATGGACACAAATTACCACCCTAATTCCGCGCTATAAAGGCTAAAAGAAGCTTACGTTCGAGGTTCATAAAGTAGTCTCGACCGCGCCGTAACCACCATTTTATCCAGTGCAAAAACGCCCAGTAGCTTTTCGGATTTCATCGGATACATTTTAACGCTAAATGCGAAGATCTGATTTTTAACCCGCGAGATCATTTTTGTGCACGATTTTCACGTCTAATATATGAGGCGTAAAACTCCAACCAACAGTTCAACTTTATCGAAATTTAAATTCCCAAAAATCAATCTGTTTATGAATTTTTTTCTATAAGAGTCATAATTTTTTTGAGATGTTTAAGAACAATTTTATAATTGAATATTAATTTCTATGATAATAATGTAACGTATATTAAATGTATTTCGTCGCTCAGATTTCTCTAAAAATAATTTCTTGTTTTATATATCTATGCGAGAATTGTGTATATTACTACGGAGATATAGCTTTTCCAAGAAGATCGATTAATTTGACGTTAAATATGAAATACGAATATATGGTTTCTGGTATGTAAACGTGCCAAGAGAAGCATCGAAACACCGGTGCACTATCAAGCAGTTTGCCGTATATACGAGGCTCTTGGCGTATATCGTATCGAAAGTTTTCGGCATTATCCTACAAAAGTTTTCCGTGTAGAAAGGAGAAATTTTAGCGCGATGGTTACGACAAGAGCACCGGCTACAAACTAACGCCGAAGAATACCAATAGAGTTCCATTTTCGTGGTAAATCGTTTGGTTGAAAACGGAATAAATGAAGAGAATGAAATAAAGAAATATCAAAGGTTAAAGTTGCATGTGTACCTACGAAGTAGCACGAGTGATATATATATATATATATATATTTGTTTGACGATATTTTAATTGAAGCTGTATATATTTCTCGAAATATTTTTTAAACATATGGAAAAGTATCGTAATATTCAGTGTTGAATTCTCATTAAAATCGACTGAAAATTTCTGTTGGGACGCTATACTCCGTGCAGTCTATTTATATTTATATCGCGACTTAACAGCCTTTTTGACGGAATTTCTTCTCAAGATTTACTTTACCAGGAAAACGTGATCGCCGTCTCGATCGCTTTTTCAGCTAAAAAGGTTGACTACAAGTTCGACTCTCGAAAACTACGAGAGATCCTCAGGAATAAGTACGCGAGTTGAAGAAAACATATATATATATATATATATATATATATATATATATATATATATATACATATGTATATACATATACAGGGTGTTCGGTAACTAACGGACCAATTTTCGAGTTATAAGCGATTGAAAAAAATGGGTTTTTTGAAAACTAAAGTTTTGGAGTTAAAAGTCTAACGTAATTACATTCTTCAGTTAATTTCAGGTAGAGTTTACTATAATAAAATTTTAATTTGAGGCTTAGTTATAAAGATACATAATGACAAATATTATGGAAAGTTGTAAAAAATGATGACCTTTTTCGACATTTTCGCTGAGGAAAAATCGTTCCCAAATTGACCAAAGAATCCATTTGTAATCGTTGGTCCGTTAGTTACCGGACACCTTGTATATGTCTGCATCGCGTTTCCGACGTTCTACTTTCGAAGTAACGGAGCGGAAAGTTTACCGCATCCCTTCTCGCAATAAATAAAAATTCATAAGTCGGTTGCGAGCCGATTATACGCAAACGATTGTCTGCAAACCCCGCGGCTGCGCTGCATTAAAAACAGAAGATATCCTCTCGGTGTGCATGACGTTGATGCAACTCTCCGGCCGCGCCCGTATCCTCCCGTTTTTCTCTCGCAAATTGAAACTTGCAATTTCGCTGACGGCTGCGGCAGCGCGTGCCCCGCAGCACCGGGCTTATCATTTCGCATTTTTATGCGCAGCGCGGAAAAATTTCTGAAAAAAAAGGCGGCGAATAAGACAGATTTCAAACGAGCCGTACAACTTTTAACGACCCCCGAGTGTTCCAAAAGCGTTTTCGCTTCCCCCGAGATGCATAATTTCGCGATCGTTCAATTGTTTTTTCCGAAGAGATGGATGGAAACACGGGGAAAAAATTATTACGTACGTATGTATGTACATTCATGTGAAAATTTATCTTTCCACGTGACTACGTTTTTTTTTTCTCCTAATTGTACTTTTTTGATTAATTTGATATCTTGTTATGATATTAACACACACAATGGCTTCGCAATGATATTGAAAAATTTCCTTTATTGTTTCGCATTTTATTTCCTGCTCTTCTTCCTCGTATCTTATTGTTTTCGGGACATTCATAATTGCATTCTGAGTTTCTCTTTGAAGTAGCTTGCAACTATCGTTGCGCCTCGGAATACGAAATATAATCATGGAAAGAAGGTCAATTTTCCAAGGCGCTTTCCCTGTTTATTACAGCTAGCCACATACAAGAAAAAAAAAATATATATATATATATATATTACAAATTGTAATATATTATTTTAATAAAGTCTTATTAAGAAAAAAATAGAGATGTAGGATTTCTTCTAATCCTAACTAATGATTCTCAAATAACGTAAATCACTCGAGCTTAATTGGAAAGAAGATTTGTCTTCCATTCATATTACTAAGATATTTATACTTGTTAAAGAGGATCCTTCAATTCTCGATATTTAATAATGCTAAAATTAGATCTTTCATCTAATTTTCCGCCAGAAAGAATTGACCGGAGATTCGTCAAAGAATCTGCTGTTAACAGCGAGCGGTGACTATAAAAGCGAGATTGCTCTGCGAATGGATCTCCTTTCATCTTGCATTGATAGTTCTTCCTTCTATAACCGCGTTCAATCATACGAATTCGTGTGGTATCGACAAGAAGCGATTTTAGCCTCGAGCAATCGACCTTTCAAACGTGAATCCATTCGATTCCGCAAAATCGTGCGTTTAACGCACGATTTTGTCGAATGTTATATAGGGACGTTTATTTATAGGGTGAAAATAAAAATACTACAGAGCCGTCGGCGGAACGTTTTTGCAAGCATATCTCTCGGCGCAGATCGAGATTGAAAAGTAGCGTGCGATCACGCATCTGATTTTTCCCTC